AACACATATCAAACATTGTTCAACTATTCTAAAAAGTGCTGCCATCTTCAATCAAAGATATAGACACAAAAAGTTTATTAAATCAATTAAAAAATGCATTGACTTCTTTAAGCTAATACACGAAATGAGAAATTAAGATTAAAATTTAACTTAATCACATAAATTGTAAAATATTCCATACAAATATGGTAGATATGATTATCTTCGTTTATTAAGTAAAAATTTTATTTTTAGAATAAAAATTATTCTTAAAATAAAAATAAATACATTTAACAGATTGAAAGACTTTTTCTATACAAAATAAATACTACAATTTAATATTAATGATAGTTTGTAATTACTATAATAAAATAAGAAACGCGATATAGCAATAGTATCTTTGTACAATTCTCTTATTTTGTATCCCTCAAAAATTTATTTGCTACAAAAATTGATTTTTTTATATCGATACAATGCAGACAGATAGATAAATTATTTCGTTCTTTAGATTCTTGCAATATTAAATGTAAATTTTTATCTTTATTGAATCTATTAACATACATAATATCTGCCATTTTAACACTAAAATCTATATTGAAATTTCTAACATAATATAAAAATTATACTATATATCTAATTATAACCTTCCATTGGCAACAATTAGTTACTACTGTTATTAGTAAGATCGCACGACTGTGTCCAATCTTAATGGAAAGTTGTACATCAAGTTGACAGATTTGATGTAATGTTGATCAGAAAAAACATGGGATTACCAACCTATTATGTTATTGAATTAAAATTTCAATGAGTATGAAATCAATGTTAACGATAAAAACGCTCGATCGATAATTCAATAACGGAGTAGGGGTTGATAATGCCATGTTTTTTCTGATTGGATTCCATAGTCGTCATAATGCGACTTTACTAGTAACTAATTGTTTTTGCGCTACTAATTTATGTATTGAAGAAGATCTGAAACGAGGATCGAAACGTATACCGCAATTGCTTAATAAAGTTTTATTATATCACACACTAATACATCTTGTGTTGGCTCATATTGGCATTATTATTAGTTTTAATCTCTTGAGCCTATTATTATTAGTTTTGTATTATATGTATAATATATTCTAATTTTATTGACTTAAAATTTAACAAGGTAGATGCTAAAAAAAATAAAAAATTCTAGAAAATTATGTGTGCAATATTGTTGCAATATTAAGTGCACATGTTTATTTTTATTAAATTTATTACATTGATGCGCGATATTATTGAAAGTGTAGCCATCCGATACATAATTACTGTACTGTAGAGATACATTCACACTTATACTTACACATTCACACTCTTTTTGATATTCTCCACACATACTTTACAAAAAGTATTTTAATTGCAACTTTTTAAGCATTATAAAAAATAAAATAATAATTTGTTGTAATAGTATAATTAGTAAAATTAATAGTAATAATGTAATAGAAAAATTAGTAAAATAGAATAATTGTATAAAATAATAATTCGTATAATAGAGTTATTAGTTATCATAAAAATGGCTATTATTAATGGTTCATATACGAGTTATAGACATTTTAACATGTTGAGGTCGTAATACGATGTCAGCTGTTGTTTTAATGTTATTTAGGTTGCCAACTGTTACAAATCGATATCGTCGCAATAGATTTACGATTATTGTTGCCACGATTAAAAATGCATATTTCTGACCTAAATATAAGCAATGTAAAAAGAAAAAATGAGTATTAATCTCAATAGCAGTAATTTTATGGAAAATGAAATAATGGCCATGAAAAATTCATAATTAATTCTTATTTTAAGGCTGTCTTAAGTAATATCTTTTTTAAGATGCTAATATCTGTGATTGGTTTCTCTGTAATTGTGTATTATTTTAAGAGTATGTACTTAAGATTTTAACTATGAAAATTGACTGTGAATACTGATAAGTAGCTAAATCTAATTTTAGAAAGTATTGTATTATGAAAGAAAATGAAGATTGTAAATTTTTGAAATTAAAATGCATTGTGATAGATTAATTTCCAATCAAAACAGGATTTTCTAAAATTTTCAATTTATATCATTTTCAAAATAAATGGCTTATATAAAAATATTTACCTACGCAATCTCTAAGGCCCATACCAAACGGAATATACGTATAACGACAATGGGTTGATGAAAATCGTTCGGGGATAAATTCCAGCGGTTTATACCAATACTTAGGATTACGATGAATAGCAAATATTGGAATCATAACATAACATCCCTCCGGCAAAGTACACGATTCTAAAATTGGTAAAGCTCTTTTTCATAACTTGATAAAATATTATATAAACCCATCAATTTACATGCATGGATTCAATAACCAGTGTCATAAAATACCAAGTTTTATATCTTCTGTAAGTTGCCGCGAAATGATAGGCACAATAGGAAATAATCTTAAAGTCTCTTGAAACACCATATTAAGATACGGCATATTAAGGAGTCGTTGAGCAATTTTATCATTATTGAATGTAACTAATATTTCCTGTCGCAGTTTTTCCTAGGAAACAAAATGTAAAAACAATAACCAATTGAATATCTAAAAAACAATATAATAAATTAAATAATATTTTTAATCCTTAATACACACATTAATTTTGGATATCTCTGATACACACATTCGGTCATTCGTGTCTTGGCTTAATTTTCATCATTTTTACAAGTATATATAAATTATTAAACAATTTTTACGTAATATTTATGACTTTGACGTCTTTAGAAAATATTTGTGTAGTTATATATTCATATCAAATTGTAGATAAATTATTGTAACTAAGTATAGTTAACAAAATTAGAAAAATGCACTGTTTCATATAAAAATATAAAAATTTAAAATAAAAATGTTTAAAAGAAAAGTATAGTTCAGTATCTTAAAATTGACATTCCAAACTGCAAGAAAAAAAATAGTTCCAGTGTTGGCCAAAAAGTTTAATTATTGAGTAACCTAAAAATGATGTTTTTTTTAATATACACGAATGGCTATAAATTAAAGATATATTGCATTTACATTTTTAATGAATTTATTATTAATCATGGATTTTATTATTGCTATTGTGTAAAAAAAACTTATAATTTAGTAGGAAAATGTTCTCTATAACAGACAACATAATACAGATAACAAAATATATAATATAATATTACTAACAACATTTAGAACAAAGGTACTCAAAATCGCGTTTATTAAGGGCTAACATGTTGTTTTAGGATTAAATTCTTTTTTTATAATTTGCAAAATGTTTTCACAATACAACCGAGAATTAGTTAAAGTTTTAAAGAAAAAAAAATTTTTTTACAGAAATTTTTTTACACTCTGTATACACTTTGGGTCATTTGTGATCCACAGGTGAATTTTGGAGTTATGCCAAAAGGATACACACGAATCAAGACCGGTAACGCATAAAACTTGTTCTCTAGATGCCAAACTTTTTTTAGCAATAAAAAAACACCGATATTTAACCAGATGTTCTTAGTATTTCAAAAAAAGAAATAGGCAGGACACAAATGACGCAGACGTGTGCACTAAGAGTTAAAATAAATTCAAACAATAAGTTGAAAGTGATTACTATAAAACAGTTACTCTTATAGAATATTAAAAAAAAAACGAAATATTTTTATCATCTTATGTTGTTTTTTACAGTCCACCGGAACTATATTCCTGGACATATAATGTACTTATTGTATGTTGTAATAATTTTACTAACTTGTACATCTGTATGTATTGCCAGCATAAGCATAATAAAGGATGTTGCTTCCGTAATAGTATTCTGAATCTGAAAAATAAATTAATTGTAATACAAATATATTTGTGTGATTTTACAGTAAGAAATGAAATTACAGCAGCAAAAAAATTTCTAATGTCATCTAAGAAATTTTCGTAGCTCACATCGCAGGATTTGTTCGAAACATTAGCTCGAATTTCCTCTACACGATCCCAATAATTGTTAAAAATAGGCTTTAATTCTTGGAAAATTGTCATGTTGTAATTGTTACGTTGTAAAGCAGTATAATTTTCTGACTTTCGTGGTGATATCTATATTAAGTAATACAGCTATATATAATGTAGATACAAATACAGTACTATTAATAATAATAAAACAATTTTATTATAAAAACTATTGTATATTATATTTCTATGTGAAATATTTTTGTATTAAAAACATTACATTGTATAAAAATATCAGTAAGATGTCTCATGTTAAAATTCATAAATTTGCAATATAGTTCAATAGATATCTTACGGCGGAGTTATTGTGGTTTTATTTAAAGTAATTGTGACAAAATTTAAAGTAAAACATATTATTATATATGAATTACAGTATCTCTCTCTTTTTTATTTTTTAAAATAAAATATTTTTCTCTTTGTAATTTTTCGACTTATTTTGTAATTTCCCATACAGCACCGAAAGTTTTTAGAAATATCTCAGAAATATTTCAACTGAAAAATGAAACATTTTATAAAAATTGTAAAATATATCTGCAACATTTCTGAGATAGCTCTGGAATAGCAAAATATCTGCAATTCTTGCACATGAAATTCTTGACATGTGTTGAAAAAATGATGAAATATTATACAGAGAGAATCTGCAATCTTTTTATAATATTATCGAAAAAGTTTCAACTATTTCTAGTACTACAAAAATGATAGTTAAATGTATACTTAATTGAAATTTAAATAATATTTAAATTTATTATGTTGACATAATAAATTTAAATATTGTTTAATTATCAATTAAATATATATTTAAATATTATTCCTGAAGTACTTACAATTTATTTTGTAATCTGTTTACAATTTTCGCACAATATCATTATTCATGTACAAAAGTTTTTCGCAATTAAAGTAGAACAAGTCATAATAACATCAAAATGGTGTTAAACCGAATCATAATTGTAATAAAAAAATGACTTTAAATAAACATTTTGGAGCCATTTTAACATGATGATTTTTGTTCTGTTCAAATATTTTTCAATTTATTGTATATAATAGATTCTAGAAATATCTATTAAAACATTTCATATGTCATAATGCAGAATCTTTTCAGAATTGTTGCACATGAGATTAAAAGGTTGAAACATTTCTGAAAATTTTCCGCAATTTTAATCAGTGCTTTATGAGTTCAATTATTAAAGTTTCCAACCATACGCACACATCTTAATACATTTCAAAATAATAATATTTTTTCACATTTTTTATTGTATAAAATTACAAACTAAATTTTCTTCCAATCAAGAGAATTCCTATATTTGGTTAAAGTAAATCTTAGTTAGCTTAAATGTTTCGGTGTAAATTTATATACATATCTGATTTTACAAACTGCGCACCGAAATCTTTCTCGGTTTTAAAATGCAATTATGAACAGAATCAAATTTTCCTTTTTAAATAAAAATATGACATAGAAAGAGAGATGTAACTAATAAAAAAAATATGCGATTATAATAATTTATTTGCTGGCTATAAATTGGCTTAATATGAACAGGTGCAGATTATTGTCATAATCCAAGAGCCATTTTGTTAATATGCTGTAAACTGATTGTAAATTCAGAATGTTTCGAAGGTCTAAATAAATATTAGAATTCGTATACAATTACTAATAAGAACATTTTGAAGACATTTTAGCTCAGCAATTAAATATATATACTAAGCGAGTTTATGAATTTTAATTCGAGAACATTATATGTATATATAAATACGTATTAAATAATTCTTAAAAACATTTAAAGTTTACATTGTAGATAAAATCTATCAGAGTCTTTTCAGCAATACACATTTGTTTTCTATTTCCAGTCAAAGAAAAAATCCAATTTAAGCGTAACCATGGCTTTATTACTTTGCTATAAGCATCTTTGAACAACCTGCAACAATTACAGATTATCGAATTAAATACTAATGATGAAGATGCAATTAAATTTACATACTCTTTCTGCTTATGTAATATGTCAAGTCCATCTTTATTTGCTATTCCTTGAATACCCACCGTTGTCACTAGGAATTAAGATTTATCATTTTCACACATTTAATCATGATAACGTAGATCATAATAATAATAAATGTTTACATCAAAGTAATTTATTATAAATCAAATTATAGATAAAAGTGTTCTTTATTAAATATACTATATTTATTAATTTTCACCTAAAAATATATTAAATGCATATTGTTCTATATACGGTTTCAGATCAAACATTGGACCATCGACATTCTTTTCTAGAATATCCATACAAAGATTGCTATCGAAATATGTTATATATTCGGATAAATACTTGATATTCATAAGAGGATGTATTATTTTTCGTCGAAGCTTGTGAGATGCACCTATCAATAGCACACAAATGCATATTAAACATAAAAAAGATATATTATCCATATAAAGTCAATATTAATTAAGTCAATGTTAATTTCAATTTATATTAAAGCATTATTATTTATTACTACACAGAATTAAATATATAATAGAAAATAGTAAACAAAAAAAAAATGAATATTTATCATATTAAACAAGGGAAATGAATATTTATCATATTTAAATACAATAGACCTGAAGCTCTGATAATTCCATCACCAAGTATTGCTTTCCATGTCTGGGTCACTGAACTTTTGTAATTGCCATTTACATTCGTGAGCACAAGCTGCGTATTAAAATCAATGAATTTTTTTCTTGTTAACTATTATTTTTTTACAAACTTACTTTATAATCTTCGGGTTTTGTAAGTACTACGAATATATCTGTCCCTAAGATAAAACGTGTAAGATTTCCATACTTTTTAGTAACTGCATCTATACAATTGATCAATTCTGTAAAGTTGTATAATTATATATAATATTATTTGCAAAACTGTAAAATATTTTCGAAAAAATAATTTTAAAAACTTAATCAATAGTTATAATTGTGATAATGACCACACGCACACGCACGCACACACATAATACAACACACTAATGTAAATTGTAAATTATTAATAATATAAATAATATTATAAATTATTTGTATCAAACATATCAAACAGTGTATTTGATGCAAGTATTTTGATTCAATATAAAGCTCAATTTAAATAGATGTTTTAACTTGAAATTATAAATAAAGGCAATTTTATTCACCTTTATAATTGCAAGCAATTTGTAGAGAATCAACAAGGGATGAAAATATTGACGCACCAGGTAGCGAAATAACAAATTCTAAATTTTTTTTTAATTTGTAGAATTTCTTCTTATTAACTTCAAAAATAAATGTCATAAATAAAATTATTACTATTGTTGTTAAAAATATATCTGTAAAAAGTTAGATAAGTTTATTTTTAATTAATTACGCGCCTTTGCATACATATATTGATTTAATAAGGAATAAATTAGTACTTTGCACTTATTTGTTCCTTTATAGTTTTTTGCAATCAATGATAGAAAAGATGATAAAAAATTTCATATTTAAAATATAATGTAATAAGTTTTACATATATCTACTAATATAAATATAATTGTACTTTTGAAGCTTCTATATGGACATAGCTTCTATGTACACATAGCTTCTTTATAAAAATATAGTTATTAGATAATCATTCAGAGCAAAAAAATTCTTTTATATTAAAAAGCAATTGTCTTCGGGAAAAGCCGGAAAATAATAATAATTTGCTGAAATTACATTACACATTATTTAAATTATTTAAAAGTTTTTTATTTAATAAAAATAATCTTATAATGGCTTAATAATAATAAACAATAAATAACAAAAAGGGGCTACAAGCCAGATTTTTATGCATTTCAGATTTTTAGAACATACGTTTTGACTTTATTATTAGATTATCCTCAGTGCAAAAAAATTAAAATAAATAAATTGATTGTAAATAAATTAATTTTGTCGCAAATTAATGCCTGACTAAAATAATGACTGACTACATTAGCACACCAATTGATATCAATTTGAAACTCAGCAAAAAGAAAACGAATCCTGATGAAGAAGAAACAAACCTTCCTTACCGAGAGCTTTAACCTACCCTTGGCTGTAACGACGCGTCCTAACATAAGTTATACCGTCAGTTACTTGGGACAGTTCAATAACTGCTACGGTAAGGAACACTGGACTGCCGCAAAACGAGTTCTTCGATACCTCATGGGATCCAGAGATGTAGAACTTGTTTATCGCCGAGATATTAAGCCCATCGAAGATTTTGTTGATGCCGACTGGGGAAGTTGCCCGGACGACCAACGATGGTTATACATTATACCGGCTTTCTTTTCAGACTATCTGATAGCTCTATATTCTGGGACTCCAGGAAGCAACCAACAGTCGTTTTTTCATCAACCGAGACGGAATATATAGGACTAACTAAATACGTTAAAGAAACTATCTACATTTGCAGATTTCCGGAACAATTCAGGTTGCCTGAGCTTGCCAACATCACCGTCTTTAACGATAACAGGGGCGCTTTGAAACTCGCTCAAAATTCAATCTACTATTCTCGAAGCATAGACATGCGCCACCATTTCATCCGTGAAACTCTGACAACTGAAGGTGGCTCACGTATCCACAAACGATATGCCTACGGATATACTCACCAAGGGACTTCTAAGACCGAAGTATTAACGAGTAAGTAACGAGTATTGAGATCTCTGGCCTCCGACGCATTTCCCGTGAAGTATGACTGATCGTGGATCGAGGGGAGATGTTAGCGTTCCGCGTCTTTATTGTACAATCTACGAACAAACCTATAATGTAAAACTGACTTAATGTTCTACTACGCATGCTCAAGTCGTGTCTTCTATCTGTAATACTCCTTCTTCTTCCTTGTTCGAGCATCCCTTTGTAATGGCTACGTGAACCCCTAATAAAAGGTGCATCAAGAATATTCTTGCCTTATATTGTAGCGTTATTAACCGGCCTCACTTTCCTCTCCCGTTTCAATAACTACCAACTTTTTGCGTAATTATAAATTATATAATTTGTATTTAATGGTTTTATTAATTTTGTCGAATTTGCGTTTAATTTCTTTATACTGAGGGTGATCTAATAATAAAGTCGAAACGTATGTTCTAAGAATCTGAAATATATAAAAATCTGGCTTGTAGCCAGATAGCCCCTTCTTATTATTTATTATTTTCTTATTTATCTAAGTAACAATAAAATGTAAAATTTTTCCATCAAATATATTGATCTAAAATATAGTAGAAATTAAAAATGCCTATAACGGTCGAAGCTGAATCTTCATTGTTTAAATAATTTAATTTTGAATTACTATATATAATATACCATATATGTACTTGCATATTAGACTGTTAAGAAAAAAAAATTTTTTTTAATTGGCCATTTAGATCAAAAGCTTTCATTTTATGCCAAAAAAACACCCCTAAATTTTTATCAAAAAATATTAAGATTTGGAGGTCGCTAGCAAATGATTTTTAAATGCAAAAATAGCTTAATCTGAATTTCAAATATGGTATTGTATATTTCTTTGATCGCTGAACACGATGCAATAGTTTATTTAGCTCTACGATATACGCTTCAAGAAATGTAGCCCTATTAATGTAAAAATATGATCAAGTTTAGAATTAAAGGTCGATTTTAGCATGGTTCCAACAGTTCAAATGAGTCGTTATTCAATTGTAGGTCTGTTCACCCAGAACAAAATCTAGTTGAAATTTTCCCTCCTACAGAGCCTTTAAGTTTTATTTAACTGGATTATTAATACATTTTTAAGGATAGAAAAAACTTTATACAAGTTCTAAAGTATATTGCTTTGTGGTCTTAACATCCTCAAATAAAATTTGTCTCAATTTGACAATAAAAAATTCTTTATTAGAAAATGAAATAATTACATAATAATAAAAATATGATTTAATATATTCACACTCCGTTCTGTTTCGAACAGTGGTCAATGAACACGATTGGAAAATCTGACGATTATATCTCACTAATTGAAGTAAGCATTGAAATTGCTCTTCATTATTAGTGATTTGCCTATTAAAATTTTCAGTGAGAAAAATTGTACGTTCTGACATGAAATTTGTAATCTTTAATATTTTTATCTTTTGTAAAGCATTTTTATAGTTCGAATTTTCATTTTATTGTGAAGGATTTTTCAAAAAACTTCGATATTTGATTCATAAGGATAAAATTTCATGTTTTCGATAAAATTCTCAATTTTTAACTTTTTTTCTTAATATATTAACTAAAAAATTATTATTTCCATCAATATTTAAATTTTTAAAATTTTTAACCATCATTCTGTTATTGTCGAAATTAAAACGAGAATCAAAAAATGATTGAGCTATCAACAATTCAGTGAGGTACCAAGTGTGACCAGAAAATATCCGAAAAAAAATCTCAGAAACAAAAGAATTGATTTTTTCATATTCGATAAAGTCTTTTAATAAATTCAAATCATTGAATAAAGCGAATGTTAGAATTTCGCAGGTAAACTAATATTTTAAATATATCTTTACAATAAATATTGTACATTAAATATGCGGATATTCGTAACAAATCATATAATATATTTCATTAGTATAATACAAAAAAATATTCTATTACTTGTATTAATCCAGTTAAATTTTTAAAGGCTCTGTAGGAGGACCAGAGAAAATTCTAATTGGATCTTGTTCTGGATGAACAAATCTACAATTGGAGGAGAGTAACAGCCCATGAATGATTGGAATCTTGCTAAAATCGATCTGGAACTCGAAACTTGGTCATTTTTTTACATTAATAAGATTACGTTTTTTAAGGTGTATATCGTAGAGCTAAATGAACTATTGCATCGTGTTTAGCGATCAAAAAAACATACAATACCATATTTGAAATTTGGATTAAGCCATTTTTGCATTAAATCAAACATATATTAGGAAAAATCAAAAACTTTGATTTAAAAATTATTTACCAACGATCTCCAAATCATAATATTTTTTGATAAAAATTTAGGGGTTTAGGTTTTTTTGGCATGAAATGAAAGCTTGTAATTTAAAAAAATAGCCGAAAAAAAATTTTTTTTCTTGACAGTCTATTACATATGTATACTATATTTTTCTTTTAAACTGCGCCGAATTATTTTTCCGGATTATAAACGCAATTAAACCACTCTAGTAATTGCGAATCAAATTGACAAGGAATTTTAATAATTTGATGCTCAATCCACGCATTATATAATATTATAAAGATATTAATATGTGAAAAAACTGTTAATAAAATTGTGTAAAATATTACCTCAGCTCGAGCCAAACCCGGATCTCTTGTACATACAAGCGTCCTAAGCCTTTATTTTAATTCATTTATTATAAATTTATAATAAATATATTCTCAACATTAAAGAATTAATATCATCTTTACTATATTTTGTATGTTGTGTTATTTGCAATAAGCGTAAAAATCATAAGAGCATAACAAGTAACATCTTTTTGATCAAATAACATTCTTATACTTACACATGTTTTTTTGTTCCTTTTTTATTTTTTTTATTTCCAATATGTAAAAATATTCTACAATTTAATAAATCTTGATTTTATTTGTTACACGATTATTATTATATACCTTATCTATAAAAAATAAAACACAATTAGAATACCGGGTCAAAACAGATATCTTGTAACAGAAAAATATACTAACGGAAATAACAACTAAGAAATGTCTTATATAACAGTAGAAAAGAATGACGTAAATAATGATATACTAACTAATTATGAATAATTCTGTTCGACTTTCTTATTGTACACTTCATAATAAATGAGTTTAATTATATTCTAATAGAATCAGTAATAATGTAAACAATTTTATTCATAGCAGAAAGTTTAAATCAGTTCAAAAAATAAAAGAAGTCATGGGCAGGTTTAAGTATGTATCTAATGCATAAATGTGTTATCATCGTCGGAACTTTACAGTTTTATAAATTTTAATCAGAGAATGGAAGTAACTCGTTATTTGTAACAAAGTTACAGTTATAAATTACTTTTTTGGTAACTTTACTGATAACTACGTTACTTTTTTTTTTTATAACTATAACGATAACAAAGTTATATTTTTTTGGTAACGGTAACAAATTTTACAATTACTTTTATCGTTATTTTGCACATGATTGGACACAATATAAGCCATTTACACTGTAAAAAATTTCGTAAATTTACATATATAATAGATTACATGATTAGTTCTGTAAATATAAAAAAATTATGCAATTTTACAGAAATTATGTAATTCCACAAAAATTATGTAAATTTGCTTTTATTGTGTAAATATATCTTGTTTTATATTAA